AGGGATGGTGTGGTGGTAGTGAATTTACCGTTATTCCACGATTCGTCTTGTTCGTGAGTGCCAGACTTTTTCACTTTGTCTTTCGTCCCTTTTCCTGTTGCCTCTGTAGCGTATCCACCCACACGTGGCACCGGCAGTGGCATCCTCTCTGCTGCTGCTGCACATGTACAGATGCAGGAGAGTATCAGTAGCAAGGTTAATAGAAGAGTTGTGCGCATAGTGATTGTGTAGCTGTGTCGTTTATTTAATGATGCGTCATGTTATGAAAGAAAAGAAATAGAGAGCAACAATTTATCATTATAGTTGTTAGAATGGCAAATATAAACAAGTAGGTTTACTATTAAAATCCAAATACATATGCATCGATAAGCATTAATAAAGAACAAATTTGACAATTATTGTCTACTTGTTTTTTTATTTGGTTCTAACACTATATCGTACAGTGTAGCAAAGAATAAAATCCAAATAGTTACTTCAAGTTTTATCGTGTGAGCAAGACTGGTACAAGAAGAGAGGTATTTTCCATTATGAAAGATTAGATGAAGATAGAATAACGATATTGAGAACGATACATATTAGTGTCATCTAAAAACACTTCATTATCGTCTCACTACACGATGTGGAACTCTGGTTTGGGGGATTGTTAGTGGGACATCAGTGGTACTGCAGTTAGTACCATACATTGATGAAAATCAAGTGGCTTCACTAACTAACTACATTACTACGGACTGGGGGTATAACTCATGTACACACACTCAGTCATGCCTATTAGGAACTTAGTCGTAACAAAGTAATTGCAACACTATTAACTCTAATTTCTTCCTTTTCCTTTTTTTTTCTTCTACCCACTACGTAGACATTTAAAGACTTGGAGTATCATTGTTTCCCTCTTTTCATTATTCATGCACCTTCACCAACAGCCATATCACTGTTAGAATAGAAATGCAGACCTATCATATACGCCATCCTTGGCATCTTTACTATCGGTCCATATGGGTCTTCAATTGACAGGAGGGAAAGAAGAAGAGAAGTAAAACAACAGGGGAGTGCATATGTGGAATAGAAATCATTATTTAAAAGTACACGTAAACTTTACATAGCGTATAGTAAAAAAATAGGAAATAGAAAAAAGATAAATCTTTTAGTTATATTTACACTTCACGTGGAGAATAACAATGTGTAAATAAAAATAGATTAAGTAATTAATTAATAACATGATATTATATCCACCGTTCAGTCAATTATTATCAATTCATCCTCTTCAGTGCAACATACAGTGAAAAGACAACACAAATGAACCACACAAATAATAATAATGACTACTACTCAAAAGAAAAAGTATAGGATTGTACATGGAGAATGAGTACTATAATCTCCAACTACTTCAGACACTACTATGGGGTGTTGGATCGCAAACATTAAGAAAAAAGAAAGCAAACAAATGTATACAGAAAAGAAACAATAGTGAATTAGAGTATTATA